AGTCCAGTAGGTATTCTAGAAGGGACTGCTTAAGGGTAAAGGAAAAAATCATTTAGGGCTGGTATATTAATGGCAGCACTGCTGGACGTTCAGGGTTTGAGGGAAAAGATAGAATTTGCCCCTGGTTTTTGTTGTAGGGGACCTGGGAGGTCCCCTGTTAGGAGTTTCCTGGAATAGGTTTTCCTTCAATATCAAATTTAAATTTACTGTCTTTGACCCAGTGCATTTCTCTATGGCAGCAAGGGCGAATTTTTGGAGGTTTTTTATTAGCCTTCTTGGCATAGTCCCTTTTTAAATAGTTTTTATCTCCATATGTAAAGCATCCTTCATTTCCCTTTTTAAAAGGTAGCAGCCATTGTTTCAGCTAGTATTTGCATCTTTTGAGTTTTTGATCCTAGATTGTGACAAGCCTTCAAATAATAATAGTCCTAGTCTCACAAATTGCAGCTATAGCTCTTTGATATTTCTGATTTGCATTCTCATAAGCAAGTAGTTTCTCTAGCTGTTTTTTGGTTTCTTCTGCGATTACAATATGGGGAAATAGCAGCTTCTAATCTAGCTAAAAAATTAGCATAACTTTGATTAGGTTCTAACAAAGGAGAGACTTGGAGTTGCGACTATTGGCAGAGCAGGAGCATTTGGAGCAGCCGGGGCAGGGCTAGTAAGAAAATTTTGAGATATTTTGTATTGTTTTAATTGGGCCTTTTCAAAGTCTTATCATTTAATTTATATTTATGTAATAAGTGTTCTGTCTGTTGCTGAATATTGGAAGGGCTAGAATGTACCTTGAAATGGCAGAATTACAGCTTTAATGAGAGCCCATAGGGGCTAGAGATCAATTGGAATATTTTTTCCTTGTTTGGCTGCTCATTTGACATTTTCTTTGACCCGGAGCCAAATTTCTAAGTCAAAACTGCATTTATCAGGAAACTAAGGATTATGTTCAACTACTGTTTGAAGGCAAGCCTTTATTCATTGGCGTGAAACCAGAAGTCCCTGAACTTTAAACAAATGGTAAAGTAAAGTAGAAATATGATGGGGCTTTCCAGCCGTTTGACCCATGCATGCCTTAGTACTTACCGACCTCAATAGGTCCCTGAGTCACTCCGCCCAATATGCCACGTATACCAGTGTCCCTGCTTCTTGGCACCATTTGTTGGGGTCCTTTAATGAACCGGAACCTGGTGGTATGGAGTTGACAATAAGAAAGTAAAAGAAAGAAAGAGAGAGAGAGAGACAAAAAAAGACCCCGGGGACCTAAGCTCTGATGGAGCAAAGGTACTTTAATGATTTTTCTATGAGTATATATAGGCTGTGATACAAGAAACTTCTTTCGGGAATGATAGAGATCAGAAAACCAAACGTACAGCAACCGTTACCAAGGGAACAAGGGGGTAATGTTGGTCACAAGGTCAGGAGACAATCCATATCTCAAGAAAGGGGAACAAGACTAAGGAGTTTTGTCCTAAAAGAATGTTTACTAAAGGAGAGACCCAAGCCTGCCTCACACAATGACCTCAGTCCCTGGAAGCAGCGTGCTGTTCCACTTGAAGAGGGACAAAGGACTCATGAGAAACAGCACGTCGGAATCCTCCCGTCAAACATTCCCTGACACTCCCAGCATCAGGGTCTTTTTCCAATGAGTCAACTCTTCACATGAGGTGGCCAAAGTACTGGAGTTTCAGCTTCAGCATCAGTCCTTCCAGTGAACACCCAGGACTAATCTCCTTTAGGATGGACTGGTTGGATCTCCTTGCAGTCCAAGGGATTCTCAAGAGTCTTCTCCAACACCACAGTTCCAAAGCATCAATTCTTCAGCGTTCAGCTTTCTTCACAGTCCAACTCTCACACCCATACATGACCACTGGAAAAACCACAGCCTTAACTAGACAGGCCTTTGTTGACAAAGTAATGTCTCTGCTTTTTAATATGCTATCTAGGTTGGTCATAAATTTCCTTCCAAGGAGTAAGTGTCTTTTAATTGCATGGCTGCAATCACCATCTGCAGTGATTTTGGAGCCCCCCAAAATAAAGTCTGACACTGTTTCCACTGTTTCCTCATCTATTTCCCATGAAGTGATGGGACCAGATGCCATGATCTTTTGTTGTAATTATTGAACTTTTCACTCTGACATCTCGTTTAATCCTTACTGAACCCCATGAGGTTGGTACTATTACTGTTCCTATATGACAGAAAATTATTGCCTTTGTATTTGAATAACAATTTGACTGGACATAATATTCTTGGGACCCCAATTCTCTCTCTCAAAACTTTTGTTCCCTCTTTTTCTGGTTTTGAATGTTGCTGTGTCTGAAGTCCACCTGGCTTTTTATTCTTATAAAGGACTTGATTTTTGTACCTAGATGCTTATACAATTCTTTTTTTTCATCCTCAAAGTCTTAATTTTTGAGTACATTCATTTACATAAACTTAGCGCTTTAAGACTGCGCAAATGTATTATCTCAGTTCAGTGGGTCAGAAACCCAGTAGACTCAGTGATTTCTATAGGTCCCACTAGGCTAAAATTACGGCATCTGTCAGCCTGATCCCTTTTCTGGAGGCCCAGGGTAGAATCCACTTCCAGGCTCATTCAGGCAGTTGACAGAGTGCAGATCCATGCAGTTGCAGAGCGGAAATCTCCATTTCCTTGCTGGTTCTTGGCCGGGAGCTGTTCCACACTTCTGGAGGCCTCCTGCATTCCTTGGCTCCTGGCCCCTTCCATCCTGGAGCCAGCCACAGCAGGTTGAGTACCTCTCATGATCTCACTCTTGCCTCTTGTTCTGCTGCATCTCTCTAACTCCAGCCAGAGAATTCTTTCTGTTTTTAAAGACTTGTGTGATTAGGCCCACTGGGATAATCACCCACTCTTTTTTTTAATTTATTTTTATTAGTTGGAGGCTAATTACTTTGCATCATTGCAGTGGTTTTTGTCATACATTGAAATGAATTAGCCATGGATTTACATGTATTCCCCATCCCGGTCCCCCCTCCCACCTCCCTCTCCACCCAATCCCTCTGGGTCTTCCCAGTGCACCAGGCCCGAACACTTGTCTCATGCACCCAACCTGGGCTGGTGATCTGTTTCACCCTAGATAATATACGAATCACCCACTCTTGAGGTCCATAACCTTAATCACATCTGCAGAATCCCTTATGCCATGTAATAGCATATTCATATATTCTAGGGGTTAGGGTGTGGGCATCTTTAGGGAGGGGATTCTGCTGAAAGCTTGGGGTTTTTACGTTAATCATTTTTTATCACTTTTTCCTGGAAGACAGTGTAACCTTTCCAAGCTGTATTTTAAGCACATTTTTCACATATTTTATTTATCAACATTTTTTTCTGGTTCATGTGTTGAAACCTCTACTTGAATAATCCAGCTATCCTCAATATTGGATTCTCTCTCATTTTATCTCTAAATACTACATTAAAAATTGATTTTAGAGAGGTATTGTGTACAAACAAAAGCTGTGTCAATCTAAAGTGATGAATTTTAACAGGTGGACCTGACCACAGAACCCCAGTCCCATTCATGATACAGAACATCTCCGTCACCCAGAAGCATGGTTTGTAGCCCAGCCCTCCATTCACCCCTCTGATTGCTTTAAAACTTTTCTTTCTCTCTCTCGAACACTGCATTCACTTCCAAGTCTTGTTTCTGTGTCATTAATTTGACCTTCAGCCGTGTTTCCTCTATTTTTTTCTCTTGGTTCTTAGTTAGTTTTTAATGATGTTATGTTTCACAATTTGTTTCCTCGGCTCTGTAGTTTTCCATTTTATCCTGTGGTTTTATCATCTCATGCTTAAGCTCTCATATAAGTGAATTGTTGATCTTTCTTTGTGTTTTGGGGCTTCCCTGTGGCTCAGCTAGTAAAGAATCCAACTGCCATGAGAGAGACCTGGGTTTAATCCCTGGGTTGGGAAAATCCCCTGGAGAAGGGAAAGGCTACTCACTCCAGTATTCTAGCCTGGAGAATTCCAGTCCATGGGGTTGCGAAGAGTCAGACACACTGAGCAACTTTCACTTTCACTTTCACTGGGGTGGGGTGCAGCTAAAAATACATTCTGTCCTACTTTGCAAATGATATCATATGCAACTTAGGACAAATATTCCAAAATCAAAAGGAAGCACCGAAAAACAATTAAGTTAAAGGCATAGGTGTACTCGGTGGAGTACAGCTGTGGACACAGCTGATAGCTATTACTTACCTGTGATTCTTACAAGAAAATCTGGCACTTTCTGTGATCATACACAAATCGGTCTTCATCATGTCCTACCTCATCTTTTTACCCAGTGTCAAAAGGAAAGGGAAAGGCTGCTGGGAACGAGGACTAAAAGGAAAACAAGCCAGGATTATTGGAAGTGGTCAGCTTCAACTTTACTAAAGGAAACTCCCATTTTCACCTTTCCAGAGGGCTCCATGACAGATTATTTATTCAGCTTCAAGACTCATCTGAATTTGAGAAAAAGAACTAGTGGAGAGGTAAGAATGGAATTGAAATATATCTTGAAACTGTCTGCTTAATCCCTGCTCCCTGCTAAATCAGCTTTCATCTCTCTCAGTCTGATCTACTTTTGAGAAAGAGAACCCACTAGGGCATCCCCTGGGAAGACCCTCCTCTTCTGTCCTCTTGTCTCTGCTTGGAGAGTCCTGAGGAGCCGGCCCACTGCACAGGGTATCTCCTCCTTCTCTGGGACTTTGCTGGCAGATCCAGCTGGTCTGTGACAACCCCTCTCCCAGGCTATGGTCCAAGGGCTCCATCCTGGTTTCCCACCCTCCCCACCCCCACCAGGTGTTACGATGAGCTAGTCAAGGGAAAATGAGATCTAAAGGACCCCTTTGCACCGTCTAATGGGGCATTCTCTGTGTGCTACTCAGAGAACTTGACAGGGGACTAAACAGGAAGCAGCTCGTGGTGGTCTTTGGCCGGGTCATCTCCAGCCCATCATCCCTTCTCCTCCAGTGGCCATCTGTGACATTCCTTTTCTTTCTGCAGAGACTTCCTGGGAGCTTGGCAAGTGGACTCATTGTTCTGACACGTGCGGCCACTTGGAAGCCCGAATTCAGAGACCCCAGTGCCTGATGGCCAATGGGCAGGAAATCAGCGAGGCCTTCTGTTACCAGCTCCAGAAGCCACGGGCTGCATTTCAGCCCTGTAACAACCGGGACTGCCCCCCCGAGGTGTGTGCAATCACTTGTCTTCTCTCCTTGCTACCAGTGTTTCGCTTGTTTTAAAATGCACACTTATTTGGATTGAATAACTCAACCACTAACATTTGTTTTACAGGGACTGTATGAGGTGCTCAGCTAAGTAGTTTATGTGGATCACCTCACAGTTACCTATCAGGTCGAGATTATTCATTTTCTTTTATAAAAATTAAGAAAAAGATTTTTGGGTTGTACTAAGCTGCATACACAATCTTAATTCCCTGACCAGGGAACCCAAGCCCCCTGCACTGAAAGCTCAGAGTCTTAACCTCTGGAGCTTCAGGGATGTCTCCAGTGTTGTTCATTCTCTATTATACAGTTGGAAAAGGTCCCCTAGGCCACACAGGTATGAGGGCCAGAATTCAAGTTGGGTTATTCTGATTTCAGAGCTTCGGCTGTTAATTGCCACCCTCACCTGCTCCCTGCACTCACAATGGACCTTAAGAGCACAGGGAAACTGACTTCAAGGGCTCACCTAGGAGATATGGCAGTGGGCCAGCATCACAAGAGTTACTGGTGAAAATCACCATTCCTTAGACTCTACCCCCAGGGTCGTGTTGTTTAGTTGCCCAATTGTGTTTGGCTCTTTGTGACCCCATGGACTGCAGCTTGCCAGACCTTCCTGTCCCTCACCATCTCCCTGAGTTGGCCCATGTTCATGTTCATTGCATTGGTGATGCCATCCGGCCATCTCATCCTCTGATGCCCTCTTTTCCTTCTGCCCTCAATCTTTCCCAGCATCAGGGCCTTTCAGTGGTTGTCTGTTATATCAAATGGTCAAAACTGGAGCTTCAGCCTAGGCATAAGTCCCTCCAGTGAATTTTAAGGGTTGATCTCCCTCAAGATTGACTGGTTTGATCTCCTTGCTGTCCAAGGGACTTTCAGGAGTGTTCTCTAGCACCACAGTTTGAAGGCATCAATTATTAGGTGTTCTGCCTTCTGTAGGTCCATTTCTCACAACCATAGGTGACCACTGGGAGGACCGTAGCCTTGACAATACAGAACATTGTCAGCAGAATAACATCTCTGCTTTTCAACACTGTCTAGGTTTGTCATCACTTTCCTGCCACGAAGCAATCATCTTCTGATTTCATGGCTACAGTCACCATCTGCAGTGATTTTGGAACCTAAGAAGAGGAAATCTGTCACTACTTCCACCTGTTCCTCTTCTATTTGCCATGAAGTAATGGGGCTGGATGACATGATCTTAGTTTTATTTACTATTTATTCTTTTTTTTTCTTTTTTAAATTTATTTACTATTTATTCTTAAGCCAGCTCTTTCACTCTCCATCACCCACATCAAGAGACTCTAGTTCCTCTTTACTTTCTACCATTAGAGTGGTATCATCCTCACCCCCAAGAGTAAAACCATTAATAACCTTTCAGTGTCATAGATGACACAAATCAATAATTTTAAAGGTATTCAAAATGAAGCTCATAATCTCCACCAAATCTGATCTACCCCTAGTGTTCCAGATCACAATGACTAGATCCTAAGCTGCCCACCCCCCTTTCCTCTCACTTCCTTCTGTTCCTGTCAGTTTCCCACTGTCATTGTCATTCCTCATGAACGCCTCGTCAGGAGCCTCCTGAGTGTTGTCTCCTTCCTAGAGTGCCTTCAGAATTCCCTGATAGCTCAGTTAGTAAAGAATCTGCCTGCAATGCTGGAGAAGCCAGTTTGATTCCTCAGTGAGGAAGATCCGCTGGAGAAGGGATAGGTTACCCACTCCGGTATTCTTGGGCTTCCCTTGTGGCTCAACTGGTAAAGAATCTCCCTCCAATGTGGGAGACCTGGGTTTGATTCCTGGGTTGGGAAGATTCCCTGGAGAAGAGAAAGGCTACCCACTCCAGTATTCTGGCCTGGAGAATTCCATGGAGTGTGTCTATGGGGTTGCAAAGCATCAGACACGACTTGTTCATTCTATGAACAGAAACATCTTTTATTTTACGTGGGTTTGTTTTTTTTTTTTTTTTTTTTTTGAGTATAGTTGCTTTACGATGTTTGTTAGTTTCTGCCGCACAGCACAGTGAACCAGCCTGGTATATACACACACACCCTCTCCTTTTGGGATTTCCTTCCCATTTAGGTCACCACAGAGCACTGAGTTCCCTGTGCTGTGCTTTGGGGTTTCATTAGTTATCTATTTTATACATATCAGTGTACATATGTCAATTGCAATCTTCCAGTTCATCTTCCAAGATGGCGCTAGTGGCAAAGGATCTGCCTGCCAATGCAGGAGCTGAAGGAGATGCAGGTTCGATTGCTGGGTTGAGAAGATCCTTTGGAGGAGCAAATACCAACCCACTCCAGTATCCTTGCCTGGGAAATCCCGTAGACAGAAGAGCCTGGTGAGCTACAGCCCATGGGGTTGCAAAGACTCAGACACAACTGAACAACAAGGAGCATTTATGTGGTTCCTTTTTCTTCCCTTTGGTTTCAATGAGTTGAAATCCACCTTTTTGAAATTTCCACCTAATTTTGCCCTAGCTCTGAGACCACACAGATGATGGCTTTTACATCCCTGAGGATGATTTTATCCCACCCCCATGTTGTTGTCTCTACATGGCAATTCTGTTGCTCTGAGTGAAAGGAAATCTGAGAAGATGGCTGGGAGTTATATGTGCTACTGCCCATTCCCAGATACGTGTTTGTAGGCCCTGAAACAATCATAGTGGCAGGATGGGCTTTCCCTTTGGAAGACAGTCCCCATAGGGTCTGACCTACTAAACTTCTGTAGTTTTTATTCTTAGGTGGCTCACGGGCACATGGTCAGAGTGCTCTGTGTCTTGTGGTGAATGATTCTGCAGTGGGCAGGTAACATGTAAGCACACAAGAGTCACAGGAATGGTGCAGGCATTGCCACTAAGAGTGTGCATCCCCAGAGTCAGGACTCTGACTGGTTGAAAGAAGGAACTAGGTAGTGCTAACAAATGTAGTGTTTTCAAATCTTCCAGTCCCTGTAGTTAAACCCACGCAGCAAAAATGGGACTTCCCCTGGCAGTCCAGTGTTAGGAATTTGCCTTCCAATGCAAGGGATGTGGGTTCCATCCCTGGTCAGGGGGCTAAGATCCCACATGCCGGGAGGTCAAAATATCAAAACATAAAACAGAAGCAATGTTTTAACAAAACCCCACCCATCAGGGCCCCTCCCCACAGGGGAGAGGAGAGCACCCAACTCCTACAGGACATTCAGGAAACTCATCTGCCCAGGGAGCTGACCACACCACACGTGGGCTGGTTCAGGGGACTTACTGTTCAATCCTAGACCACCTGGTCCTGATTAACTCAGGCTGCAGGGATCAAACTTCCCCTCGGCCCTTCTGAAAATGTTCAGTATTGTCAGTGTGGGAGGAGAATACACTCTTTCTGCATTTCTGCCCTGCAGTGCAGCAGTTGTCTCTTGAGAGTGATTGTGCTAATTCTTAGGTCATTAACTCCAAGTCCTACATGACTGTACACTTCTCTAACTGGAGAGGATGCAAAACAGAGGGAGATACGTGTTTCTGGAGATATAAAGTTTATTAAAACTATGAAGAACCAGAGTTGGCAAGAACTATCCCCTCCACCACCAACATGGAAGGAGGGAAAGTGGGAGAAGGGGGACATGCCCGGGGGACAGTCCGGTCTATGAAGTTTCACCCAGTGGGGTAGGAGGGGCAGCTGGGTCAGGGTGACGCTATTCTGGTCCCCCAGGCCACTACAGACCATCCTCGAGCAGGCCAGGGAGGTGCTAGATTTGAATCCCATAGTCCACTTGACCAGGTCCCAGGGAGTTCGGCAGGTCTGAACTTTCGTCTGTTAGCCATACAGGGGTTGATTCTGGGACTATTGTATTTTTGTGCCTCTTGCCGGGAAGCCGGCAAACAGAAATGTTTCACAATAAAATTTTGTATTTTCCCAGCCAGCCCCTTCTTTATCTGGCTGAGGACAGAGGGAGTGGCTGGGGACTCTGGCTGCCTGACTTGGGAGGAGCTTCCAACAGTGTCAGCCCCACTGGGGCGAGGCGGGCAGTGGGTACACTCCTGGGCTTTGCTGCAGGTGTCTCGGGTGCCCCTGGTGTCACAGGTGTCATGGGTGCCGTGGGTGTCTGGGGTGTGTCTGGTGTGTCTGGTGTTGCGAATGTCGCAGGCATCACACGTGCCGCAGGTTTTGCCAGTGCCGAGGGTGTTAGGTTTGCAGTGGGTGTTGGCGATGTGGCAGGTGCCTTGGCTGGGGAAGACACCACTGGTGGAGGGAATGGCCCCAGGGTCACTCAAGGCAGATGTGGTAGGTGAGGGAGTGGTAGTGTGTGTGATCTTTGAATCGTGGGTTGAATCCTGCATCTGAATGGTTTCCCACAGGAATAGCCAGGTCGCTATAAGAGTGTACACCTCCGGGCATAGAGGCTGGAGTTTCTGAGTGCTGGAATTCTTCATGGCAGGCAACGACTTCACAGTGAAGGCACAGGGCGCCACCCTGAGTCTGTTCAAGTGCAGGCTCTCTGAGCTCTGGCTCTTGTTCCACCTCAAGCCCAGTGGCATTCCCAACTGTCACTTCTGACTCCTCTTCAGTGTGGTGGGAGTGGCTCTTCCTGGTCCATCTTGACCAATGGATACTGCCACAGGCAGGGTTAAGTAGCTCTTCGTAGGGTTGAAGGTCAGCATGCTTGCCATTAAGTTACTTATTTCATATAAGTAGTTGCACACATGGTAATGCCCTATGAGGCTGTGGAGGTGCTGGATTTGAATCCCATAGTCCACTTGACCAGGTCCCAGGGAGTTCGGCAGGTCTCACCTTTTGTCTTGGTCAGTAATACATGGATTGTTTCTGAGCCTAGTTTACTTTTGAGGGTATTTCTGGGCAATCCACAACAGAAATGTTGTATTATAAGACTCCACATCTCCCAGCCACCCCTATCTTTCTCTGGCTGGTGTCTGGGGAGTGTGGCTGCCTAGCTGGGGAGGAGCTTCTGGCGGTGTCGGCCACACTCAGGGAGCACTGGGTTCCCTCTGGGCTTTGAGCTGGTGTTCCTGATGCCGCAGCTGTCCCTGGTGCTGTTGGTGTCACAGGTGTCACTGGTGCCCTGGTGCTGGGATGCCTCAGGTGTGGCGGGTGTTGGGGGAGTGGTGGACTCCTTGGGTGCCAAAAATGCGTCTGGTGGAGGGAGTGGCCCCAAGGTCACACAAGGCAGATGGAATGGGTGGGGAAGTGGTAGAGTCAGGATCTTTGAATTGTGGGTTGTCTCCTGCATCTGAATGGTCTCCCACAGAAATAGTCAGGCCAGTGTGAGGATGGACACCTCAGGGCTTGGAGGCTGGAGTTTTAGGGGGCTGAAGTTCTTCAATGCAGGGAAGGGCTTCACAGTGGTGGTTGGGGCTCCACCCTGGGCTCAGAGGCATCGCATTGTCACCTACGAATTCTCTTCACTAAGTGGCAGGAGTGGCTCCTCCTGACCCATCTTGACCCATGGATGCTCCCAAAGATGGAGTAAAGTGGCTGTTTGTATGGTTGAGGGTCAGCTTGCTTGCCATTAAACTTCTTGTTTTGTATGATAAGTAGTCAGGCACATGGTAATGCCCCATGAGACTGTGGAGGTGCTGGATTTGAATCCCATAGTCCATTTGACCGGGACCCAGGGACCTCGGCAGGTCTGACCTTTTGTCTCAGTTGGTCATGCAGGGGTTGTTTTTCAGACTATTGTATTTTTGTGCCTCTTACTGGGAAGCCTGCAGCAGAAATATTTCACAATAAAATTTCACATTCTCCCAACCAGACCCGTCATTTTCTGGTGTAGGGCAGAGAGAGGGGCTGGGGACACTGGAGGCCCGGCTTCGTAGGAGCTTCCAACTGTGTCGGCTGCACTCAGGGGGCAGTGGGTAACTTCTGGGGCTTTGCTGCAGGTGTCTCGGGTGTCCCTCGTGTCACGGCTGTCAGTGGGGCCAAGTGTGTCTCAGGTGCCACCAGTGTCTCGGGTATCGTGAATGTTGCTGGTGGCCCCCTCCCCAGAGTGTTGGGTGTGCCTCGGGTGCGGCGGGTGTTGGATGTGCGGCGGGTGCCTTGGGAGCCGAGGATGCTGCAGGTGGAGGGAGGGGCCACAGGGTCACTCGAGGTAGGTGTGTCTCAGGTGTCACTAGTGCCCTGTGTGCGCTGGTCATCGGGTGTGCATTGAGTGCATCGGGTGTCAGGTGTGCCTTGGGTGTGTCAGGGATCTTTGCATCATGCGTTCTCTCCTGCATCTGAATGGTCTCCCACAGGAAAAGCCAGGCCAGAATGAAGGTGGACACCTCACAGCTTGGAGGCAGGAGTTTTTTGGTGCTGGAGTTCCTCGTGGCAGGAGGGGCTTCACTGCGATGGTTTTGCAGAAACCAGTACTTGAGAAACCAAGCACCATGCTTAGAGAGTTGGAGAATTCAGGTTTATTACACCAGCGGGCCCAGAGGAGTTAACACTTCAAGCTCTGAGCCCCAAACAAAGGGATTACAGAGTTTTTATAGACAGACTATAGTGGGCAACACTAGCTGTTACAGGTTGGTTTAAACTAAGGGATTTCGCACGTGCGGGAACAGTGGTCAAGATGGGGAGGGGGATGCCTACCTGGACAGGCATGATTAAGCAGGTTTGCAGGGGTTGAGCGATTGCAAAGAGCAGGACAAGGGTGAGTGAGATAAATTCCAGTTCCTAGTATTGCAAGCAGAGAAGGCAATGGCAGTCCACTCCAGTACTCTTGCCGGGAAAATCCCATGGACGGAGGAGCCTGGTAGGCTGCAGTCCATGGGGTCACTAAGAGTCAGACATGACTGAGTGACTTCACTTTCACTTTGATGCATTGGAGAAGGAAATGGCAACCCACTCCAGTGTTCTTACCTGGAGAATCCCAGGGACGGGGGAGCCTGGTGGGCTGCTGTCTATGGGGTCGCACAGAGTCGGACATGACTGAAGTGATTAGCAGCAGCAGCAGCAGTATTGCAAGTCCCCACTTTCTGAGACTACGTGACCTACATGATCCAGACTTTGCAAGGGGTAAGGTGAGTTACAGAGCCAAAAGGAGGTAAATTTTTAATTTTTCCTCTTCAATGGTACAGGGTCCCATTCTGGGCCTATTCCAGCACAGGCTTTCTGAGCTCTGGCTCTGGTCCCATCTTGAGCCCAAGGGCATCTGCTGTCACTTAGGAGTCCTCTTCACAGAGTGGCAGGAGTGGCTCTCCTGGCCCATCTTGACCCATGGATGCTGCCAGTTGTGGTAAATTAACTCTTGTTTTAGGGTTGAGGATCAGCATGCTTGCCATTTGGTACTTATTTCACATGATAATGTGAAATTTATCATGATAATTCCCTATGAGGGCACATGATAATATCCTACGACGCCATGGTGTTCTGGATTTGAATCCCATAGTCCACTTTATGGGGTCCCAGGCAGCTTGGCAGGTCTGACCTTTTGTTGCAGTTAGTCATGCAGGGGTTGTTACTGGGACTGTTGTAATTCTGTGCCTGTTTCCAGCAAGCAGCAAGTAGTAATGATTCATAATAAAATTTCATTATTCTACCAGCCAGCTGCTGCTTTTTCTAGTCTGGGCAGAGAAAGTGGTTTGGGACTCTGACTGCCTGGCTTGGGAAAAGGTTCCAATGGTGTCAGACCCAGTTAGGGGGCAGCAGCCACAGCACATACCCTCTGAGGCTTTGCTGTAGGTGTCCTGGTTCCCCTGGAATCACGGGTGTCTCGGGTGCTGCTGGTGTCTTGCGTGTCAAGAAAATGGCTGTTGTTGTGTGTGCCCCAGGTGTCGTTAGTGTCCCAGGTGTCAGGGGTGCCTTGGGTTTGGTGGCTGTCGGGCGTGAATGATGTGCAGCAGGTGTCAGGGGTGCAGCGGATTCCTCGGGTGCAGAAGATGCCGCTGGTGAAGAGAGTGGCCCCAGGGTCACACAAGGCAGATGGGTGGGGGAGTGGTAGGGTCAGGGGATCTTTGAATCATGGGTTGTCTCCTCCATCCGTATTTTCTCCCACAGGAATAGCAAGGGCAGTGTGAGTGTGAACACCTCAGGGCTTAGAGGCTGGAGTTTTTGAGTGCTGGAATTTTTCATGGCAGGTGACGACTTCACACTGATGGCACAGGGCCCCACCCTGGGACTATTCAAGCTCAGGCTTTCTGACTTCTGGCTCTGGTCTCACATCGAGCTTAGAGGCATCCACACTTTCACCTTCAGATCCTCTTCACACAGTGGCGGGAGTGGCTTTTCATGGCCTGCCGGGGTCCAGCCCCAGCAGGACCCAGGGGAACCCTCAGGATGAACGGCGTCAGCGAATGAGAGAAAGAGAGAGAGAGAGAGAGAGAGAGAGAGAGAGAGAGACCAGGCCAGGATGTGCAGCAGAGTCTGGCCGTTGCTTTATTTTTCACCGTAGCCTTTGTACCCTAAGTTGGTACATTTCTAAGGGGGAGATAAGCATACAGACTTAGTTTAACATTATATCAACTTGTCCTTCACGCAACCAGGTGTGCTCTGTATATTTTTTGTTTATGAGAGCCTTTTCCCATAGATTTTTTGTACATTATCTTCTTGCCTTGAGGTTAGCAGAAAACAGAAAAGTGGCAGTCTCATGGTACAGCAGGTTGCAACATAATAGAAATACAATCCTATTAACATAAAAGTCGGTCTCTTTGCAGAAATTCTCAGCTAAATTTATCTAAAAAGTTTAGCACACAAAGACTCTGCGGCTCTGGTGAGGCAGCCCCTGTTTAGCACTCCTGGTTAAAATTAACAATTATCTTATTGTTTTTACACTAGGGCTAAACTCTTATTTTTCTAGATCTCCAACTATATTGACAATGGTTTTCCACTGCACAACCTCAGCACATTAACATCAATCAAACATTGATCTAATAACCACTTTTAAAACAATATTTTTTGTATTCTTTAATAGGGCTTCTTCACCCCCCAAAGGGCTCTGTGCCTATTAGGGTCTTTTTTAAGATTAATCTCTATGTATAGTATCTTTTGGCTATCAGGCCTGTTGACAATTTATGGCTTGCACCTGGTGCAACTTTAAGCAACTTCAGTAGCCGACCCTGTCTTTTCTGTGGTTAATCTATTTTATTTCTATTAGGTGTCATCTCCATGGGAACTAGATAGGACCACATTTTTACAGAAGAGAAATGCAAAGGATTGCAAAAACAGCAGATATTGCACAAAACAGGCTCTTGGTCTAAAAGTTAACTACCTGCAAGAAGTCGCCAGCTAATCTCTATCTAAAGTATTTTCTATTAGGCACATTTGTGGCTATTATATTTGTGGAACTTTTCTCACCCCACGGAGGGGCCTATGTTTAATAGTTTCTTTTGTTAGTGTACTGTGCTTAGGGTGTTTAGAACAATCATGAGCATTTTTTGTAATGAGAGCATACATTTATGAAACAAGCCAGAATGCCAGCAAAAGGGTTTGATTTGAAGCATTTCCTTCATCCCTGGCCCCTTCATACCAGCGTCCAGGAGATTTATTAATTAGGATTATAAGTTTGTCTTTATTCAAAGAAAGAGGAGCAGGAGAGCTCTCAGCAGGCAACACAAGAATCCACAGCAGGGCAAACAAGAACAACAGCAGAAAGGGGGGGGGGGGAGGATACAGGATGGGGTAGAGGCCAAGGCCAACGTGGAGGGTCCCTTATCCTAGATGGCCTTGCCTGTCAGGTTTTTTCCTCGTAACCTCATCATGGATGGGGTCCCGGACGGCCTTGCCTGCCCGGTATTTTCTTCGTGACCTCGTCACGGGCGGGGCCTCCCAAAATGGCTCCCAGCACTGGCCCATTTTGATCCATGGATGCTGCCAAAGGCAGGGTAAAGTAGCCCTGCTTTTAGGGGTGAGGATCAGCATGCTTGCCATCACGTTCTTATTTCGTATGATAAGTAGCCGGGCCCATGATAATGTCCTATGAGATTGTGGAGGTGTTGGATTTGAATCCCATAATCCACTTGACCGGGTCTAAGGGAGCTCAGCAGGTCTGAACTTTTGTCTGTTAGCCATACAGGGGTTGATTCTGGGACTATTGTATTTTTGTGCCTCTTGCCGGGAAGCCGGCAAACAGAAATGTTTCACAATAAAATTTTGTATTTTCCCAGCCAGCCCCTTCTTTATCTGGCTGAGGACAGAGGGAGTGGCTGGGGACTCTGGCTGCCTGACTTGGGAGGAGCTTCCAACAGTGTCAGCCCCACTGGGGCGAGGCGGGCAGTGGGTACACTCCTGGGCTTTGCTGCAGGTGTCTCGGGTGCCCCTGGTGTCACAGGTGTCATGGGTGCCGTGGGTGTCTGGGGTGTGTCTGGTGTGTCTGGTGTTGCGAATGTCGCAGGCATCACACGTGCCGCAGGTTTTGCCAGTGCCGAGGGTGTTAGGTTTGCAGTGGGTGTTGGCGATGTGGCAGGTGCCTTGGCTGGGGAAGACACCACTGGTGGAGGGAATGGCCCCAGGGTCACTCAAGGCAGATGTGGTAGGTGAGGGAGTGGTAGTGTGTGTGATCTTTGAATCGTGGGTTGAATCCTGCATCTGAATGGTTTCCCACAGGAATAGCCAGGTCGCTATAAGAGTGTACACCTCCGGGCATAGAGGCTGGAGTTTCTGAGTGCTGGAATTCTTCATGGCAGGCAACGACTTCACAGTGAAGGCACAGGGCGCCACCCTGAGTCTGTTCAAGTGCAGGCTCTCTGAGCTCTGGCTCTTGTTCCACCTCAAGCCCAGTGGCATTCCCAACTGTCACTTCTGACTCCTCTTCAGTGTGGTGGGAGTGGCTCTTCCTGGTCCATCTTGACCAATGGATACTGCCACAGGCAGGGTTAAGTAGCTCTTCGTAGGGTTGAAGGTCAGCATGCTTGCCATTAAGTTACTTATTTCATATAAGTAGTTGCACACATGGTAATGCCCTATGAGGCTGTGGAGGTGCTGGATTTGAATCCCATAGTCCACTTGACCAGGTCCCAGGGAGTTCGGCAGGTCTCACCTTTTGTCTTGGTCAGTAATACATGGATTGTTTCTGAGCCTAGTTTACTTTTGAGGGTATTTCTGGGCAATCCACAACAGAAATGTTGTATTATAAGACTCCACATCTCCCAGCCACCCCTATCTTTTTCTGGCTGAGGGCCGAGAGAGTTGCTCAGGACTCTGGCTGCCTAGCTTGGGAGGAGGTCCCAACAGTGTGGGTCTCACTCAGGGAGCGGTGGGTACACTCCTGGGCTTTGCTGCAGGTGTCTCAAGTGCCCCTGGTGTCATGGCTGCCGCAGGTGTCTGTGGTGCTGCTGGTGTCTCAGGTCTCTCTGGTGGTGCTGTATCTCTGGTGTTAGTGAATGTCACTGACGTTGCACGTGCCACTGGTGTCGCTGGTACCCTGGGTGTGGGGGGTGTCTAGGGTGCGGCCGTGTCGGGTGTGCATTGGGTGCAGTGTGTGTCAGGGGTGTGGTGGGTGCCTCGGCTGGGGTAGATACCGCTAGTGGAGGGACTGACCCCAGAGTAACACGAGGCAGATGCGGTAGGTGGGGGAGAGGTAGAGTCAGTGAGCTTTGAATCGTGGTTTGTCTCCTGCATCTGAATGGTTTCCCACAGAAATAGCAGGGCTGGTATGGAGGTGCACACCTCAGGGCGTAGCGGCTGGAGTTTCTGAGTGCTGGAATTCATGGCGGGCGATGGCTTCACAGTGATTGCACGGGGCCCACCCTAAGACTGTTCAGGCTCACGCTTTCTGACTTCTGGCTCTGGTCCCACATCGAGCTCAGAGGTATCCACACTGTCACCTTCAGATCCGCTTCACACAGTGGCAGGAGTGGCTTTTCCTGGCCCGTCTTGACCCACGGATGCTGCCACAGACAGGGTAAAGTAGCCCTGCTTTTAGGGGTAAGGATCTGCATGCATAAGAATAGGGTTCTTATTTTATATGATAAGTAGTCGGGCACATGATAATGCGCTATGAGGCCATGGAGTTCTGGATTTGAATCCCATAGTCCACTTGACTGGATCTAGGGAGCTCAGCAGGTCTGAACTTTTGTCTGTTAGTCATGCAGGGGTTGTTTCTGGGACTATTGTATTTTTGCGCTTCTTGCCGGGAAGCCTGCAACAGAAATGTTTCACGATAAAACTTTTTTATTCTCCCAGCCAGCCCCTTCTTTTTCTGACTGAGGCCAGAGGGAGTGGCTGAGGATTCTGGCTGCCTGGCTTGGTAGGAGCTTCCGACTGTGTCAGCCGCACTCAGGGGTCAGTGGGTTCCCTCTGGGGCTCTACTGCAAGTTTTTCAGGCGCCCTGGTGTCACGGGTGTCATGGATGCCGCTGGTGTCTTGGGTGTCATTGTGCCAGGAATGTCACTGGTGTTCCTTGTGCCGTGGGTGTCACTAGTGCAGTGGGTGTCACTAGTACCCTGGGTGCCTGGGGTGCCTTGGGTGTGGCGGGTGTCAGGCATGTCTCAGGTGCTGTTGCTGTCTCAGGTGCCACGGGTGCTGCTGGTGTCACGGTGTCAGTGGTGTCATGGGTGTCACTAGTACCTCGGGTGCCACTGGTGTCTGGGGTGTCAGTGGCGTTGTGGATGCCACTGGTATCCTGGTGGAGCTGGCGTCTCCTCTGGTGTCTCAGGTGCTGCTGCTGTCTTGAGTGTCACTGGTATCTTTGATGTCATGGGTCCCGCTGGTGCCTTGGGTGCCACAAATATTGCGGGTATCAAACGTGCCGCAGGTGTCACAGGTGCTACTGCTGTCACGGGTGTTGTGGGAGCCACTGGTGTCATGGGGTCTCAGGTACTGTTTGTGTTGCAGGTGCTGTGGGTGCCACAGGTGTTGCAGCTGTCACAGATGCCGCTTATGGAGTGGGAGGCCCAAAGGTCCCACAAAGGGGCTGAGCTTGGAGTACTTGCCTTCACTTCCAGGCTGGGGTGGGGGGGGGGGGGGCGTGGTAGGCTTGGTGGTCTTCTCCTGTGAATCATGGGTTGTCTCCTGCCTGGAATGGTCTCCCACAGGAATAGCCAGGCCAGTAGGAGGGTGGACGCCTCAGGGCTTGGAGGCTGGAGCTCTCAGCTGCTGAGATTCTTAGAAGAGGAGGGAGGGCCTCACAATAATGGTCTGGAATCCCACCTTGGGTCCCTTCAAGTGCAGGTTCTGGCCCCACCTTGAGTCCAGAATCATCCCCACTGTCACTCCTAAGTCCTCTTCACAGAGTGGCAGGAGTGGCTCCTGGCCCATCTTAACCCACGGATGCTTCCAAATATCAGTTAAAGTACCTCTGTTGACAAACCCTACAGGGTCAAGAGTCAGCATATTTGCAAGTAAGCTTCTTATTTCAGACGATAGGTAGTGTGGGGCACAATGTATTGCCCTATGAGCAATCTATGCCAGAGCTGCCAGAAATCTTGTCCGTGGAAGGGGAAGGACCCGGTTACCATGACTATAGGACGACATCAAGGCTCCACACATCCACAGGTGGGCCCATGTAGCTCCGCCCCAGGACGAGCTCAGGGGATGTGCAGGCGGCAGTGCCGCAGAAAGTATCTAGCTTCTCTCTTGGATTGTACTCATTGCTCAGACCGAAGTCCAAACTCTTCACCTTCTGGTTCTCATCGAGGAGCACGCTGCTCAGTGTCAGGTCCCGGAGCACAGTGCCCCGCTGGTGGCAGTGCTGAAGGGCCAAGAGCAGCCGCCGGAAGCAGCCTCGGGCCCCTGCCTTCGTCATGCAGCCCTGCTCATCCAGGTAGGTGTGCATGCCTCCCCCACGGAGGTGTTCCATCATGAGGAGAGTCTTCTGTGTCAGTGACCTTCAGGAGTTTCACAATGTTGGGATGGTTCAGAACTTTCATACTGTTGACCTCGGGAAGGAGCTCCTGGAGACTGGAAAAGCTCTGTTGATGTACATTTATGACCTTAATGGCCACCTCTTACCCTGTCACAACATGCCATGCCAACTTTACTTTGGCAAAGTGGCCTTCCTCTGATTGTGTGGAGGATTTTGTAAATCTCAGTGCAAGCATCCTTGTTAGCAGAGATGGCCATGAGGTCCATTGGTAGATGGGTGTTTAGAAAAGCTAGTGCTACACTGCTCAGAGAAGGAAATGGCAACCCACTCCAGTATTCTTGCCTGGAGAATCTCAGGGACAGAGGAGCCTGATGGGCTGCTATCTATGGGGTCGCACAGAGTCGGACGTGACTGAAGCGACTTAGCAGCAGCAGCAGTAGCAGTGCTATACTGCTATAATTAAAATGGATAACCAGCAAGGTCCTAGTACATATAGCACAGGGAACTCTCCTCAATGTTATGTGGCAGCCTGGATGGGAGGGGAGTTTGTGGGAGAATGGATACACGTATATGTATGGCTAATTCTTTTGCTGTCCACTTGAAACTATTACAACAACGTTAATCAGCTATACTCCAGTTTAAAATTAGAAGCTTTAAAAAAGAAAAGCTGGTACAATTGTAACTTGGGTTTGTAGCTCCACTTTTTGTTTTCAATTTGAATGAGACTAATATGTAATAAACATGCACACACAAAAATCATCATGTTTTAATACTTTTTTGGAGAAGAAAAAATCTGATTGGTCTGTAAAAATGTATGTGTCTGACCTCAAGGATAGCATTTGGAAATTGTAGTGTCTTTGTCCTCCAATATGAAGGTAAGCCAGAGTCAGGTCCCTTTCAATACTGCAGCTCAGTAAGAGAAGCTACAAGATAGACAGATGTGAGGCAGTAACAGTAACAGCAGGCTCTAGGGAAAGGAACCGAGGACCACTATTAATAGATGCACAAAAGTCTCAGAACCCCTATTCCAAATGCCACCTTTAATAACATTGTAATAAAGAAAATCTTCAAAAATGTTTAAAGTGATGTGCAGGACCCTGTATTAGTAGTAGCCTGTGGAGTGTTAGTCATTCAGCCATGTCTGATTCTTTGCAACCCCATGGACTGTAGCCTGCCAGGCTCCTCCATCCATGGGATTCTCCAGGCAAGAATACTGAAGTTGGTTGCCATGCCCTCTGCTGGGGGATCTTCCCAACCCAGGGGATCGAACCCATGCCTCCTACATCTTTTACATCTCCTGCATTGGCAGGCACATTCTTTACCACTAGTGCCACCTGGGAAACCCCAATAGTCTTCAGGGCACCATAAAAGAAAAGCACACACTGGATCCCTTAAACAGCAGAAATTAATTTTTTCACAACTCTAGAGGCTATAAGTCCAAAAATCAAGGTGCTGTTAGGGTTAGTTTCAGTCAGATTTCTTTTACTGGCTTGTAGACAGCCCTCTTCCAACATTGTTGTTGTTGTTTAGTCACAAGTCATATCCAACTCTTTTGCAACCCCATGGACAGGACTGTGGGCTGCCAGGATCCTCTGTCTCCATCCTCACATGACCTCTTCTCTGTGTTCACACAGAAGCAGAGAGAGTCCTGGGTGTCTCTTCCTCTTCTTATAAGGATGCTTCCTATCGTATTAAGGCCCCACCGTTTGGCAAGTTATGCTAGGGAGGCCAGAGGTCCCCAAGCAGCAGGAGGAAATGAATGGCAAGAGGTGGACCTTTTTTCCTACATTCCTTTGCTCCCACTTTAGTCACGTGAGTAGGAGGCTCCCTTTAATCCTGTATTGCTATAATGACAATGGGTTCTACCTGAAAGTACCTTTTTCCCATACCTTGAGCTGCTAATTGCCCAAAGAAACAATGCATCTTACTCTTGAAAAAGTTTTTCTTAAGCTATGTTAATGTAACTATGTGTTTGTTTGGAGGTCTGTTTTCCTTTAAGACTTACATCAGTTGTTTTGTGGATACAATATATCTCACCCAGAGACACCTAGTCTGGAGAGGACTCCCCTTGTGCAGATATGTATGTTGTGGGAGAGAAACCTGGTGCAACTCTCTCAACCTTGAAGTGTTTCTTCTATCTATGATCAACAGCTTGCTAACAGGCATAAGATGCCTTGCTAAAAACTGGCAAGGAGCTATCTTTTCTGCCCCCTTCTGCTGTCTATTGTCAGAAGCTTTGTCTATCCTTTTTGTGCTTTAATAAAACTTTGCTACACAAAAGCTCCAAGTGATCAAGCCTCCTCTCTGGCCCCAGATTGAAATACTCTCATCTGCAGGCCAAGAATTCCGATGTCGTTCTTGGCTCACAGCCACCACCTTTCATCTTGCGGGCTCTTCCAGGATCTTCAGGACATGGTAAGGACACTCAGAGCTCTAGTTCTTTGGTTCTCCTAGTAAACACGTTTCCTACTTTACTAACACAGTGTGCCTGTCTGTGTGAATGCTACATGGAAGAGATGCACAAACAAGTGTGAAGCAAGAGTTCAGGCTGGCTTTGTGGTTCCATGGTGCCTCATAACTACTGAAGGGAGCCTGAAAGAGTCAGGGTTTATACTGACCTGCCAATGACCTGGATGACTTCAAAACACTAGATTTGTCAGCATTACTTGGTATCCTCATTCAGTGAGCCCTTGAACACAGGGGTGACTGGAACAGGCTTCTCCTCAGAGTCCGGTCTCTGGGGATGCAGGCTCTCGGAGGCAACACCTGCACCATTCCGTTGGCTCTTGTGTGCTTGCCCACTGCGGAATCCTTCACCACAAGACACAGAGTACTCTGCCCATGTGCCTGTGAGCCACCTAAGAACAAAAACTATAGGAGCTTAGTAGGTCAGACCCTATGGGGACTGTCTTCCAGAGGGAAAGCCCATCATCCGAGCATTATGACTGTTTCAGGGCCAACACATATGTATCTGGGAATGGGTAGCAGCACATATAACTCCCAGCCATATTCTCAGATTTCCTTTCACTCAGAGCAACAGAATTGCCATGTGGAAACAATAGCATGGGGGTGGGGTTAAGTCGTCCTCAGCGATATAAAAGCCATCATCTGTGTGGCCTCAGAGAGCAGAGCTAGGGCAAAATTATGTGGAAATTTCAAAAAGGTGGATTTCAACTCATTGAAACCAAAGGGAAGAAAAAGGAAGCAACTATATGCTCCTTGTTGTTGTTCAGTCGCTCAGCCATGTTGACTCTTTGCGACCCATGGGCTGTAGCCCTCCAGGCTCCTCTATCCTTGGGATTTCCCAGGCAAGAATACTGGAGTGGGTTGCTATTTCCTCCTCCAGAGGATCTTCTCAACCCATGGATCGAACCTGAGTCTCCCGCAGCTCTTGCAGGAGAGGCAGGCATATTCTTAACCACTAGCACCACTTGGGAAAATGAATTGGGAGACTGGGATTGACATATATTAACTACTATGTATAAAATAACTAAAGAGACCCTAGTGTATAGCACAGGAAACTCTACCCAGTGCTCTGTGGAGACCTAAATGGGGAGGAAATCCAAAAAAGAGGGGGTGTATGTATACATGGGCTGGTTCACTTAGTTGTACAGCAGAAACTAACACAATATCGTAAAGCAACTAAACTCCAATAAAAAATAAGTAAAATAAAAGATGGTTCTGCTTATAGAGTGCACAAGGCACTCTAGAGAGGAGACAAAACTCAGGAGGCTCCTGACGTGACCCTCATGAAGAATGACAATGGCTTGGACTTAGGAACAGTGGGAAACTGACAGGAAAGGACGAAAGGGAGAGGAAAGAGGGGTGGGTAGCTTAGGATATAGTCATTGTGATCTAGAACACTAGGGGCAGATCAGATTTGGTGGAGATTATGAGTTTGATTTTGGATACTTTTAAAACTATTGTTTTGTGTCACCTATGACATTGAAAGGTTATTAATGGTTTTACCCCTGGGGGTGAGGATGATACCACTCTAATGGCAGAAAGCAAAGAACAACTAAAGAGTCTCTTGATGTGGGTGAAGGAGGAGAGTGAAAGAGCTGGGTTAAGACTAAATATGAATAGTAATAAAAACCTAAGATCATGACTTCCGGCTTCATTACTGCATGGCAAATATTAGGGCAAAAGGTGGAAGTAGTGGCAGATTTCCTCTTCTTAGACTCCAAAATCACTGCAGATGGTGACTATAACCGTGAAATCAGAAGATGATTGCTTCGTGGCAGGAAAGCAATGACAAACATAGACAGCGTGTTGTAAAGCAGAGACATTACTTTGCCAGCAAAGATCTGTATTGTCAAGGCTGTGGTGTTCGCAGTGGTGACGTACGGTTGTGAGAGATGGGCCTACAGAACGCAGAACACCTAATAATTGGTGCCTTTGAACTGTGGTGCTGGAGAACACTCCTGCAAGTCCCTTGGATGGCAGGGAGATCAAACCAGTCAATCTTGAGGGAGAACAACCCCGAATATTCACTGGAGGGTCTAATGCTGAGCCTGAAGCTCCAATATTTTGGTCATCTGATGTGAACAGACAATTCATTGGAAAAGTCCCCGATGATGGGAAAGATTGAGGGCAGAAGGAGAAGAGGGCATCAGAGGATGAGCTGGCCGGATGGCATCACCAATGCAATGAACATGAACTTGGGCAAACTCTGGGAGATGGTGAGGAACAGGGAGGCCTGGCATGCTGCAGTCCATGGGGTCACAAAGAGTCGAACACAATTGGGCAACTAAACAACAAGACCCTGGGGGTAGAGTCTAAGGAATGTGCTTTTCACAAGCACATTGTGATGCTGGCCCACTGCCATATCTCCTAGGTGAACCCATGAAGTCCATTTCCCTGTGCTCTTAAGGTCCATTGTGAGTGCAGGGAGCAGGTGAGGGTGGCAATTAAGAGCCAAAGCTCTGAAATCAGAATAACCCAACTTGAATTCTGGCCCTCATACCTGTGTGGCCTAGGGGACCTTTTCCAAC